GGGGGTGGGGGGTGGGGCGGGGGGTTGGTGGAAAATTTGGAATCGTTGAATTTTCATCACTGTAAAAGAAATATAATTCTTACGAGTAGATGAGTCATCCTTAATTTTAAGGTCACACAGTAGAATTCGGAAGGTCTAAGACCCGTACCACCTTTTAAAGGTGGCCCTTAAAAATATGGAGCAACAAACGTCTATCCCGTTTTATGTCAGTGTGAACGTTTCCTAACAGTAGGAGTTACCGTTTTCTTTCTCCTCGCTCTTGGACGGTGCCCTCTCTTTGCTTTACCCTAGAATATTCTTTATTATTTTTTCCAGCTTTTACGATAACCAATAAAAAAATTGTGCCGACCGCTCCTTCTATTCTTCCTAATAGCGTTAAAGGGGATTGGGGTAAAAACCGCTCCATTTTTAATTTTCATCCAGTTGACTTTTCGTTAGGTAGTACCGCGTCATAAAAAAAAAGATAGCTTAAGGCTGACTTGTCTATTTTACAAAAATTGCCTATTGTCATTTTCGAAAGTTCAATTAGCACCAGTTTACTCGTGCCGACTTTGCACGTTCTGAAGGGAAAATTTTGTTTTTTCCCAAAAATTCATAATTCAACAGAGCTCACGTGAATGGACTTATGCCCTTTTTGAATCAATACTACCTCGGTTCAAATCCAACCTCACCCCCAGCCATCTCGAGAAGATACGAAACAAATCCCTGGTTCAGCCTCAAGAATTGTCCAATAAGTTTCGAAACTCCTGAAAAATCTTCAGAGTGGTAAAACTGTAAAAAAACCGTAACCAATGGGATAAAGACTGAAAGGACTAAAATTTAAACTGTTTGTAGATCCTCGAATGTTACGAGAAAGCATCCTGGTGATGTAAGGATCCTGCGCCAGGAAATAAGAAACGAGTGACAAGAATAAATAAACAAATATTATACAGCCTTGTCGCAATATTATCATTATTGGCAGGCACACATAGTGCCAACAAGGACATACCGAAGAATATATATATACACCCTATGGCACTATACAGCGTCAGTCCCAAAACTCGCAAACAGATAAAGACGCTCTGAGTGGTTTACCGACTAGTCCTGTTTGGGCTAAGGATTTACAAAGATATCCTTGGACCTGGTGGAACGCACACTGCTTATATAGGATAACGCGGAGGAGGTTGGCAAAAGGACACCCTGGAACATCCTGACGCTTGAGCGTCTTATGCAAAACACGAATTCGAGATCAGCCAAATAAAAATGTATAGCAGAGGCTCAGGAAGGACTTTTCCGGACAGGATGTCCTTTTCTCTCTTATTCACACCAAGAGACCATCCTTAACGCGCATCAAAGGCCACGCAGGATCCACAGGACATCTTCGACGTGTCCTTTCCGTTTTCCCAATGTAACACAGGTCTTGACGATAGGAAGAATTTCACGTAGGACCAAATCCTGACCAAGATAAAAGTCCTTTTCGTATACCCAGAATGCAAATGGGACACTCACTCGTAGGTCCCAAGAACTTGAGGTCGGGTTCCTGTCTCGAAAGGACCATTTTTGCCAAGGTCAATATCCTTTTGGCCATTACGCCCATTTTTCGAAACGCTAAGCCATATAACAAATGTCACGCACCGCGTCAGGTTTGTCAACCTCGGGAGGGCTTTTTGTCTTTTTTCAAAATCGCGTGAAAATCTGGAGCAGCTACGGCCCCTGGTTCTTAGGGGGAGGACCTGCGGATCGCGAGGCGCTCCAAATTCCTCATGGTGATTTGTGAGGTCGACCTTGTGGACCAGGGGTTTTGAAAAAATTTTCGACGAGAGCTATCGTGATCTTTTTCATTTTTTTTTCTTTTTCTCTGAATAACTGGAACCCACGGGTCCTCACTCAAGAACGCGATTTTTTTCGAGATCCTGCGAGATTAGATCTCAGTGTATCGTTTTTCCCTTGTTTTATTTCTTTTTCCTCTACGCCCCTTCGACATCTCACGTCGCCACAATATTTCACCTACGTCAGATTCCACTCGAAAGGATTAGTCCTGCAGGACGACGATTATATCGTCCTGTCAATGAAAAGGGATATACTGAAGTGACACATCACCGGCCCATCTAGACTTAAGCTTCGTTCACAAGGACGAAATTATTAGATCTTAAGGATCATCAAAAGGGTTAACACGCAAACGACGGACCGACGGTTAATGATCGACATTTGCTGCGAAAACTTTACAGTTATCGATATCCCGTTAACAAAAATGTAGCAATTCGAACAAAATAAATTCCAAAAAATTTCATATTTTTTCAAACCCTTAATTCGATATAATTAAAAAAAAATGTCTTATTTGCATATTTTGACACGGGTAAAGGAGGAGCTGGGAATGCATCAAGGGCAGGACAGAAGAACTTGTTCCAGGATCGTCCACGCGAGCAAGGACGATCCTATATTAGGAGAGAAAGCACAGACCCTTAAAAGGTCCTACAGTTAGGTTCTCTAGCAACCCCCTCAACCTCATTGTTCCAAATATCGCTAAAATACGAGAGCAAGCATAAAGCCATAAACCGCATTTTAACATTTTTGCATGTCCATTTTCGCACATTCCTTCTCCATTGACTTGCTACACCGGAGCGGCACTGAAAACATGAAAGTACAAAGTGGCAAATCTACCACTAGAGCACGGAGTGTCGTCTACAAGACATATATATATAACCTCAACCGTAAATATAAGGTTTCGGCCCGGTAAAACGGTTAACTTTTAACATCACTGCCGGGACGTTGTTAAAAATATGGCGGCTGTATAAAAAGCATAACGCCAGAAACCGCTGGGGTAAGTTAAGTTCACTTTTACACGGAACACGAAATAGTGAGTCGAACAAGAATATATATATGTATATACCACGCGATTCCCTGATATCCAATATACAAAAATTGATGTCAATAAAATGTTTAAAAATTTTCAAAAATCTCTATACACCATTACGTATATATTTCTACCGAATCCTGTGTACACGGTATATAAGAAAAATTTTATTTATAGCGCCTCACTTTGTTTCTTAACAATAATTTTGTTGTAGATATTTATAAAAAATATTTTCATTTTTTGCTATATCATATACATACATATATATCCAGTATCACAGTACTTACACCGTATATCGAAAATGGTTTACGCAGCGGATGAAAAGACGGAAGGGAAATAACGCGTAGTAAGGTTCTTTTCCTAGCGAGTATAGCATTATGCGGTTTATGATCGCAGCATCGCAAAACACTCCCTGGCAGCGAAGTATAATGCTCGGAACGACCTCGTAAAGAAACCTTTTAATATGTCCACCTCGCACATCCAGTCTGTGGATGCTGGAGAAAAAAAAGAACTGAAATAATACACAGGGTTACTGTTATATACCACACGGTAAAACAGCTTCCAGTGGATCTGACGAGTATGAATCCGCAAAAAAACATTGAACGCGTGAAATTTTAAAATTTTTGTAAACCGTTAAAAGAAGGATATCGAAAGAATATTTTGAATAAATATATTTTCAAATAACGAGTACTGGTATTGTTGTCAATGTCCTTTGGGATTGGTGACCGTGAATTTTTCTGAGTGAAAATAGATTTTTGAAAAAAAAATGTGAAAACGGTCTTTTTCTTGATTTCTATTGAAGCTTTACGTCCATTAGTGTATCTATGTGTATATAGAAGGTAGCATAACCCTCTTGTATAATTCCGCCATAATTCCGCAATAAGCTCGGAGCGTCTTGTGACGGTTGTCAAAATAATATTTGTCTAGTCCGCATCTAGTCTGACGTGAAGGCCTTTGTCGTTTCTGAGGGCGCTCCACCCCCGCGCTATATGAGAGTTATGGGTTATGGCTGTTATGATTGTCATGTTTTGTCAACTCTTTTGTGTCCTTACAAAGGGGTTTGGCTCGGAGTCGGTCGGGCTGCAAGGAAACTCCGCGGCGCGTTTGCGTTGGGCCCGAGTCGGTTAAAGACGGACGTTTTCGTATTTTCAGACTGGAAGCCACTGA